CAGACTGGTTAAATTACTTGGGAACATGACTCTAAAAGCAATAGCTTTGCTTTTTTTTTTTTTTTTTTTTTTTTTTTTTGTCTTTTTGAGACAATGTCTCACTGCAGTTCAGGCTGGCCTTGAGCTTACTCTGTAGCCCAGGCTGGTCTCAAACTTGCAACAATCCTCCTGCCTCAGCTTCCCCAGTGCTGGGATTATAGGCGTGTGTCGCCACACCTGGCTGGACTCTAAAAGCAACAGCTTTGAACAAAACTTTATTTCTGACAAATAAAAGTCAGTCTGTGAACATTTACACACCATACTATTGCAACCATTCTTACTGTCTCTTGCACTCTGGCTTTCACACTGACAAGGGTTAATAATGTTTCATAACTGTATTTATTATCGTTGGAAAGCTGCAGAGGACATTTAAACATACTGCTATCACACCAAGCCAGTTAGGAAACATCTTGGCTACCCACCACCTTTAACAAATCACCCGAGTGGAAAGGGGTGGCAGCTCTATGATATTAATGTTAAGGGTCACAAGGGAAACAGATTCACTTATGGAATTAAAAAACAAAAACTGTAAGAATCTTCTATATTAAGGAAGACTGTGATTTCTCACTTGTAATTCAACTGCTATTTTCTACATGCATATATGGTCTATACCTTGCAAATGTGTCAAATTCTAGGCAGTAGGTTTTTTGTTTGGTTTTTTCTTTTTTGGCATTAGGGAATGTTGAACCCACAGCAAGGCTGTATGACAGAGCCACATCCCCAGCCTAAGCATTGTTTTAAGGTCGCAAAGCAAATCTGTCTAGGTCACATGATCGCTACTTTTTCCTTCACTTTAATGGTACTATTATTTACTAAGCACTTACTATGGGCAAAAGCCCTTTACATGTGTTTAATTTTCACATCAATTATATAATCACCATACTAAATTTACTTAATTTAAGAAAATGAGGCTCAGGATGCACACAAGGTCACCCAATTGAAAGACAAAACTAGGACTGAAATATAGGTGTCTCTGGGACTTATAACATGTTTATCACCATATGACACAGCCACTGCTAATCTTGATACAAGTATAATACACAGATGATGTCAGCGTTCAACAGGGGGTCAGATTCCTTTTAATTTAAGGTTAAGATTGAAAATACAAATTACATGGTTACATCTGATTATCTATTAGAACAAAGGCAAAAATGATGCCTTAGGAAGAATACAGCCAGGTATAGTGGCGCACACCTGTAATCGCAGCCCTAGGGGAGGCTGAGGCAAGAGAACCGTTGCGAGTTCGAGACCAGCCTGGGCTACAAAGTGAGCTCAAGGCCAGCCTGAACTGCATAGTGAGACCCTGTCTGAAAAGGACAAAAAACAGGGGGCTGGGGATTTAGCTCAGCGGCACAGTGCCTGCCTGGCAAGTGCAAGGTTGTGAGTTCAATTCCCAATACCGGAAGAAAAGCAAAAAAAAAAAAAAAGGACACAAAACAGAACTAAACTTAAAGAATGAGGAAAAAATATTTAAAACAAAATCTTTTTTTCTTTTAATTGTTCAAACTCCTCTGCTTTGAGATAATGCCCATGAACAGATAAATGAAACATAGCTTTACTTTGGCATGATTTTCATAAGAGCAGTCTCTAACAAGTTAAAGTCAAATGTGCTGGCAGTGTAGCTCCCTGGCATGCACAAGGCCCTGGTGTGATCCCTAGCACCAGAAAAAAAAAAAAAAAAAAATCAGAATGTTATACAAACAATAAGCTATTGGCATCACTCTATCTTCTAAAACATTTTTAAAGTTCAGACAGTAGACATGTATGTAGACTTGATGTCTACAAATGGCAATTCCTTTTCTAAAAAAGAACACTATCTCAGTCTCTTCTACCTCAGCCTCCAATTTTTTTTCTTTCTTTCTTTTTTTTTTTTTTTTGAGTCAGGGTCTTGCTATGCAGTGCAGGCTGGCCTTAAACTCACTTATGTAGCCCAGGTTGGCCTCGAAATCATGGGTGATCTTCCTGCCTTAGCCTCCTGAGTGCTGGGACTACAGGCATGTGCCACCATGCCTAGCTCAAATTTCCACCTTTGAAGTCTGGTTTCCTAAAGGCAGAAATCTGGTAAGCCATGCTGGCCCCTGATCTCCTTCCCTATATGCACTATCCTGCTGACTGCAATGGACCAGAGTGTGCCGTCAATTGTTTTATATTTTGTGTAGAAAACTAGTATTTCTAAAATTACTGAACACGTCAGTCAAGACAAAATTGTTTTCTGCAGGTCACCCAAAGTGATCACTTACTAAAGCCAAGAAAAGCTTAGCTGAAAGAACATGAAGATGAAGGCTGACCACACCTGTGGATTTTGTTAAACAATCAAGGTATATTTCAGCAAATATCTCAATAAGTTAAATTCTGGATTAACAAAGTTTCTCTTATTTTCTCGATGCCAAAGCCTGAGACACTTCCTCTGTGAAGTGGAGATGCCACTTTGCAACAGGAAGGATTTCTTCAATAAAATGGTGACTTCATTGCAGTATCTTAAGATCAACTTTCATATTCAAGAAGTGATTTGATAAATGAGGGTCTTCTACTGGGCCCACCAAAACTGTACTAGTACTTTTAAAATAATATCAATACATGAGCAATAGATCAGAGTTTAAAATAAGAGTATCTACTTAGTATATTTCTCAGGTGCTCCTTTCTAGCTTGTACATTTGATGATTCACTCAACAAAAATTTATCAAGTACTATTATACATGTATCAGTGTTCTTAGTGTCAATGGTGGCAAAGTGCCTCCAGTTGGCCTAATATAAATTCCATAACAAAACTATACTAAGAAATAACAAGCAAATATTGAGGGGCTTAATAGTACTAGCAAAGTTTAATTCAAACCCATGTATTTAGAATGCCACTTCAGAATGTAAATTCAGCAAAATACCTAATTTCAGGTATTTTCAAAATACCTATACCTACTGCCTAGAATTTGACACATTTGCAAGGTATAGACCATATGCATAGAAAATAGCAGTTGAATTACAAGTGAGAAATCACAATCTTCCTTAATCTTTCCCATTACCATGAAGAGGGGAGAAAAAAACTTGCAAGGTAAAGGCAATATTAAATAAAAATTGTGACAAGGGTAAATAATACCACAAATACAAAACAAACAGAAGTATTGTGTATGCTATATCATTAATTATGTAAGCCAATTTAGTGTCCTCTTGGTGGTGGTGTTTGTGTCCGTGAACAAAACGTTTATTTCACTAGCCCACTAAGGAAGTCAATTCTTTCGTAACAGTGCATTAAAGGTGTAAAAATGTCAATTGCAAGCACAAAGTCCTGAGTTTGATTCCCGGTTAGCACCCCTGCAAAAAAGGTCGATTGTCGAATTATTCCACCATTTATTTATAAATGCCAGGACTAAATTTTAATTGCATGCCTGGTAACCAGAATGACTCAATACTTAACATCCACCTTATCTTGAGCACAAATGGCTGACTCCTAAATCTTAGGTCTGAATCAAAAACTGACAAGACTAAGCAAAAGGGTTAACAATGTGCAAAAGGGTTAACCAAACAGTAAGGAAGCAGAGCAAGTGATTAAAACCAAAAGACCAAATTGTTAAGTTATAGAGAGGCTGCTGTTCATTTGGACCTTAGCCCAGAATACAAAAAATTGGAGGAGAAATGCTGCTGGTTTGAAGTGATCCAGGTTTCGAATCTGCTGCCTCATTCCTTTATCTGTAGAAGCCTCTCCTGACAGTATATAAAAATGGCCATAACCACACTGGAAAAATCCAACAGGCCACCAAAGCCCTTCGGTGGAAATTCATTGTTAGAAAAACAGAGTATACCAGAAAATACTACGTTCTTTAGAAAGATCAACTCAAGAATCTGCCAAAGGAGACAATGAAATCTTTTAAGACCTCTGAAAATTCGTCCTTTGACCAAACGCATTTTTTTTTTCTTTCAAAGCTTCAATTCCTTTAAGAACCACCACCTGTCGGTGGTGCGTATTTTTCTCAGGAAGGCATCTGCACTGCAGATCTCTGCGCGAGGGGAGCTTGCCAGGCAGCTCCCACCAGTAAGCAGACGCACATACAATGGAAACTAACGAAGGCCTGCAGCTTCCCTCCTGGTTTTTCAGATGCGGGAGAAGGGGGTTCAACCAGCCCCTGCTTTGTCTGAATTTTCCCCTCCCCCTTTCTGCAGTAAACACGCGCTTTTGTGATACTGCGATCAATAACAGCCCACAGAAAACGTGAAATCAAAACACGTCGATGCCTTGGCATGACTCTATCTTCTAAAATATAAGCGGCTTCATAGCGTGTCCCCAGCCCCACGCCGTGCCCGTGAAAAGCTTGCTGTATTGTAAACGCAGCCACGCGAGGATCCATCTTGGACCCTCAGCGGCTCCCTCCCAAATCTTCCCTGAGCTATTCTCATCACGTCTCCTCTACCTCAGAGCCTCAGAAAAACCGGGCATTCAGAGTCTAGCTGAAAACAGTAAAGAAACGAGCCACAATGCTTTCATTAAACTTCCTCATTCTCCCCAGGGGCAAATAAAAATAATTTTTGGAGGAGTATTAGGCATGTCTGATTATGTCAACACCTGTCTGCAAACCTACCACGCAACCCTTTCACAAACCTCCCCTCAAAATCGTAATAATTCTTGTCTCCCACGACCCACCTTCCCTAGCCCTCTCAACCCCACTAGTCTTTCACTAAATCACCCAGGTTCCGCGGAGGGCTCTCCGGCCGCCCCGAACACAGCCCATCCCACGCACTGAGCAATTCTCCAAGGCATCCCACCTGCCGGGGCTCCGCGTTGATGCCCTCCCCGCCCCCAACCTGTTTTCTTCACACCCCGTTATTTCCTCATGGTCGGCAAGACCTTTCGCTCCCCTCCCCCTTTCCAAACATCGTCCCCGGGGGCTGACGCCCTCCCCGGAGCTCCCTCAGCCCCGGCCGCGTTCCCCGCGCCCTCCCTCTCCCGGGCGGGGGCTCCCGGCGCGCCTCACCCGCACAAGAGGAGCCGCAGCTCTTCGCCCCCAGGGCGGGGCAGGCTCCCGGGCTCCCGCCGCTGCCGGGCGCGGGCGGCTCGGCCCCGGAGGACGACGAGGAGACGGACGGGGACTGAGTGGCCGCCGACAACTCCGCCATGGCTGCAGAAGCAAGGGCGGGAGAGAGGTGAAGAGAGATGTGGGGCGGGAGAGAAGGAGGGGAAACAATAATCTGTCAGCTGGCTCTGCAAAGCCCCTTCACTCCGCCTGCTCAGAGGACAGACTCCAACACACTGACTCAGCCGAGCACAGCAAGCGAGGGAGTGAGAGCGCGCATGCGCACAAGGGACCCTAGAGCGGGAGGAGGGGGCGGGCAGAGCCGCGGAGGCGCGCAGCGGCGCAATGCGCAGACGCAAGAAATGTCCCTCAGCTGTCCTGCAGGGAAGGAGGGGCAAAATCTGCCTCACACCGCACCTCCAGCGGCTGGGGTGGGGCTCGCCCCTTGGGGCCCAGAAGGGGTGTGGCCAGGCAGTAAGTCCCGCCCACCACTGCGGCCGAAGGCCGGAGTCAGAGGCTGTGGCGCTGTATTTGTTCCGTAGGTCGTCTTGTGAATTTTGTTTCTTTTTTTTTGTCTTTTTGAGACAGGGTCTCGCTATGCATTTCAGGCTGGTTTGGAGCTCACTTTGTAGCCCAGGCTGTTCTCGAACTCGCAACGATCCTCCTGCCTCAGCCTCCCGAGTGCTGGGATTGTAGGCGTGTGCCATCATGCCCAGCTTATGAATGTTTTCGAGTGGGCAACTATATATTTAACGATGGAAGTTTGTCCGTGCTTCCATTAGCTGGAAATGATCTTTTCCATAAATTCCAGAGCCGACGTCTTTGACTGATGCCCTCCCGCTGAGACGCCAATGAAAAGCGCAAGCCACAGTGTAGTCCCCGCAGACAAGATGTTTTATGAACTTATCGGGATGTATCGTAATATCTCACCACGAGGCTGAGATAGCACCGTCCTGCGTTTGGTAGGTAGAGAAAGAAGCTGTACAGAATGAAAAATCATTACTCATTCCAGTCACATTGCAGTGCAGTCTCAAACCCTGCTGCATATTATCTTGTTGCTGTTCCCAAAGGGTCCACCTTCAATCTTAAGGTTGTCTTTTCCTTTGGGTAGGCTCTGAGATAGAGAAAACATTGGGGGTGGGGGCAAGCCTGAGCTATTGAAAGAAAAGCCAGGCAATAAGGACATCTAGCTGTGATTCTGGGGTAAAGGGTGAAAACATGAGTTATTAAAAACCCAGAATTAAAAAAAATCCAGAATAAGGCACAGATACATAATATTGCATTTTATTCATAACCCAAAAGGAATCCTTACTAGAAAATGTGTTTGAAACCGGTCATCTAGCTTATATTGGTTTTTGTTCATTTTTTGCTTCTAGGTTGCCTTGCCAAATTCAAAGCCCTTCCTTACATCTGGTCAAAATGTTTGAAAGGTGCATAATCCTTTTAAAAGGGGGATTGTATCCTAGATATAACAAAAATTGAGGCTGTAGGCTTTGTCGCTAAAGCAGCAATCGACCCAAACTGCAATTGCAGGTTTTGCAAATCCTGTAAAGATGTAACCTCAGAAATAACCAATCAGGCTGCCAGAGGGGAAAAGCAATCTGACCAGTGGAAATCTTCTAGAACAGGCTGTGGACCCATCTGCCCTTGACAGTAAGGTCAACTGAAGCCCAGACTGGGAGAAGGAGGAAAGGGAAAAACACAACACCCTGGCCTTTGCAAAGCTCTGAAAAGAGTACAGAAGAACATTTTCTTAAAATAACTTCATGGCAAGAATCTTACACTGGTATTTCCAGCATCAGCTGGGAGTGCAGCACTGTCCCATAGATAGTGAAGGGAAATTGAAGCCAATGTGATAACCAAGCCAATCATCTACTTTTTCTGAGAAATCTAGAATATTTTTTAATCTATGTCATCAAGTACTGGAAAGAAAATGAAAGATGCCAGTAGCTAAGCCTGACAACACTTGCCGGAAACTGCAGATGTGTGCTGAGAAAAAAGCCTATCTCCCTGCTATTCCTTTGTGCTGTTCTCTTGTTTGTTGTGCCAATTTGCCCGAGTCTGATTCTTCCTCTGGATATTTGTGTATTTGTATGTATGGTTTATTCTAGGAATGTTTACTGATCGTACTGTTGTGTATATGACACGATTTGGGGAAATTTAGAGGGACACAAAATATATACTATGTTTGTCCTATCTCCAATGAACTTATAAGCTAGCTTGGGCAAACATAAACTCACATAAAGATAAGTAGCCAAAACCTACCCAAAATAACACATAACCATACTGCTTTGGTTAGATGGCAAGTAAGTTGTATTAATTTAAAAGAGCAGGAGATATAGCTCAGTGGCACAAGCAGCTGCCTGACAAGTACAAGGTCATGAGTTCAAGTCCTGGTACCAAAAAAAAAAAAAAAAAAGAAAATTACTTTGGGGGCTAGGGATATAGCTCAGTGGCACAAGCGTCTGCCTGGCAAGTGCAAGGTCCTGAGTTCAATTCCTGGTACCAAAAAAAATACTAATTTAAAAGAGAAGCCACGTGTGATGGTGCACACCTGTAATCCCAGCACTCAGGAGGCTGAGGCAGGAGGATCACTTCGAGTTCAAGGCCAACCTGAGCTACACAGTGAAATACATTGTCTCAAAGAAAAAAAAAAAAAGAGAGAGAAAGGTTAAGGGTTAGGTAGCTCAGTGGTAGAGTGCATGCCATACTAGCATGCACAAGACCCTGGGTTCTATACCTAACAATACATATACATACACGCTACACATATCGGTTTTATGAAGAAGCTCAAAGGAGTTTGTAGAGGAGTTTGGCATTGTAAGAATATCCTTAACAGCAGAGAAAGATGATTTGAAGCAAACTCAGGAATTGCTTTTGTGCATTTATACGAAAGAGGCATCCTTCTGGGCACACAAGGCATACAAAAAACACCTCTCCCAGGCTGGCCTGTCTAGTAGAAAATGGCCTGGACCTGATCTCCACTTAACCTGCCCTTCCACAAGCTGCTGTGGTACAATGCACAGACTGCACAACTATATGGACTGGTTCCTGGAGTCTCAGAATGTGATACATATGTACGCTGAGTATGGTGGTGCATATATGGGAGGCTGAAGCAGAAGGACCACAAGTTCAACTCCAAGGCCAGCCTGGGCAATTTAGCAAAATCTTGTCTCAAAAGAGGGAGGTGGCCTGAGGGTATACTGCCCTTTCTTGTGGGAGGCCAGATAGGAGGATGAAAACCTAACTGGCCTCTCATGTGAGTGCTAGGTGAGTGCATACTGACATGATGCAGGAAAAATTAATACAGCTGAGATGCTGTATTTACTCAGATATGTACTATGGACAGTGGGCGAGAGATGAATCCTTTTTTACACTAATCGCTTGTGCCTGTGTCTGAGTGAATAAAGCTAAGGTGTGCCAGTCATTTGGGGCTCTTTGTCGAAAGGAGACAAGAGCCCCTTGGTGCCCACATTTTAACCTATTCTGTGTCTCTTTGTGTTTCATCTTTGTTGCCCCTTGGTCAGGTACAAGCTTGTAGGTTGGCCCCCAGCACCTACTGTTACTGGGTTTGATCCCCAGTACAGGGTTGGGGAGCTGGATGTGGTGGCACACACCTGTAATCCTAGCATTCAGGTTGAGGCAGGAGGATTGCTGCAAGTTCAAGGCCAGCCTGAGTGACATAGTGAGACTCTCAAATAAAAAAGAAAGAGAAAATTGTGACGTTCATTAGACTAAGTTGGGTGGAGGTAAGGGCTTGAAATGGGACAAGAGACTTTTGCTGTAATCCCTGCTCTGTGGAAAGCTGAGGCATGAGGATCACAAATTGAAGCCCAGCCTGGGCAATTTAGCAAGATCCTGTCTCAAAACAAACAATATAAAAGGGCTGGTAATGCAGTTCAGTGAGAAGGTCCTGGGTTCAGGGGCTGGGGATTTAGCTCAGTGGCATAGCGCCTGCCTGGCATGTGCGAGGTCGTGAGTTTGATTCCCAGTACCGGAAAAAAACCAAAAAAAAAAAAAAAAAGAGAGAAGGTCCCCCAGAACCAAAAAGGAGAGGGGAGAAGGATGGGGGAGAAAATTGAGGCTTTGTTTTAAAGCTAATGGGGATTCAGTGAAATTGAGCAGGGAGTCGCTCAGATGAGATTACCAGTTCATCCTAGAGTCTTTAAACTTAGCTATATCCCCAGGCCTTTTTTTTTTTTTTTTGAGACAAGGTCTTGCTAATTGCTCAACTTCCAGGCTGGGTTTAAATTTGTGATCCCCCTGCCTCAGCCTCCCAGAGAACTGGAATTACTGTTGTGTACCACCATGCCTAGATATAATTATTTTTTTTAAATTGAGACATAACATCTGTACTTCTTTATGGGGTATATTATGATAATTTGATATATGTGCACAATCACGATGTATAATCATCAAATCAGGGTTATAAACACTTGGAAATTTTTTTTTTTTGAGACAAGGTCTTGCTATATATAGTTCAGGCTGGCTTTGAACTCACTAGGTATCCCAGGCTGGCCTTGAATTCACAGTGATCCTCCTGCCTCCTGAGTGCTGGGATTACAGATGTGCACCACCATGCCTGGCACATTAATCATTTCCATGTGTTAGGAATTTTGTACTCTTCCAAGTATAGATTGTTTTAATCAATAGTTACCCAACTATGCTATAGATAACCCCCATTAATTCCTTTTCTCTATTTAGGTTTTGGTGCCTGTTATGTAACTTTTTCCATCTCTTCCACCCACAGACACTTCCCTGTCTCTAGTTATCTCTATGAGATGGACTTCTTTTTTTTGTTTGTTTGTTTGTTTGTTTTTTCCAGTACCAGGAATCAAACTCACGTCCTTGTGCTTGCCAGGCAGGTGCTGCGCCGCTGAGCTAAATTCCCAGCCCCGAGATGGGATTCTTAATTTCCACAAATTGGTGGGAACATATGGCATTTATCTTTCTGTACTGGACTTATGTCACTTAACATATTAACCTTCAATTCCATCCATGCCACTATAAATGACAGAATTCCATCCTTTTTTATAGCTGAATAGTATTTACATAGATATATATGTACATATCTCACATTTTCCTTCTCTATTCCTCTGTTGCTAGACATGTTGGTTGATTCCATGTCTTAGGTATAATTAGTGCAGCAAGAAACAAAGAAACAGAGAAGTGTACCTATCTCTTTGATGTACTGATTTCATTTTTTTTTTTTTTTTGGTTTTTCTTTTGGTTTTTCTCCGGTACCGGGAACCGAACTCACGACCTTGCGCTTGCCAGGCAAGTGCTTTGCCGCTGAGCTAAAT